AATATCATGTCCTCTTCCTTGTATTCGGTTCCGGTTAGGGTTGTTCACGGCCGGTTAACTTTTACCTTTGGCAACTCAAGGAAGAAAACTAAGAGTTTTTGAGGCACCACGACAAAAATTAACCGGTCGTGAACAATCCTAATCTCAACATTGTGTTTTTTGGCGAGGTTTAACTTCTGATATGAGATCTTTTCATTATGATGTCAGGTCAACTCGTTCTCGACAGTGACCTATTATCGGGATTCATATGTAACTTGTTTGTGTAGGCCCTAAATAAAGCAGTATGGAGGACTTGTTAGGGAAAGAGGAGGTGAGGAGAAGTCAGTCTAGTCTCGGTATTAATCCCCTTTTTCCATAATTTAATCCAAACCTCAATTACTATTTAATAATCCCCCAAATCCACTTTTTGCTTAAAAACTTAAAATATCTGCTATAAGTAAGGCTGTGATAGTTAGGCAAGTAAAATTAGTGAAATAGGCGCCTAAAATAGGCACCAAAAAGCCAAAAAAGGCACAAAAATAGGCAGGTAAAAAAGGTTATCAGCCTATAAAATTATGATAAAAACAAGAAAATAACCACCTATTCGCCGTTTTTTGACCATTTTGCCATTTATTCGTCATTTTAAATCATTTTTTGAGCAAAAATGGTGCGATTTTTAAAAATGTCAATAATTGACAAAAAGCAAGTCTTGCCCAACCCACAAAATGTCCCACCCCAAAATGTCCCAACACCAAAACGTCTAATTTCAAAATGTCCAACGGAGTAAAAATACTTAATTTGTCGAATTATAAATTAAAATTTGGGGTTGGCACGGATTTTTTTAAAATCTGGGCTGATTTTTTTTAGATTTTCACTGATTTTTAGGCAAAATTTAGGAAAAATCGCTAAAAAAGGCAAAAATAGTACCGAAAATTCCAAAATAGGCAAAAAGGCTCAAAAAGTCCGAAATAGGCAAAAATAGGCAAACTAAAAGTCATGCTAAACTATTCGGACCAAGCTAAAAACAAGTTTTTTGAACGTATTACATCATGCCAAGCTCGCAGAAAAAAAAGGCATTTGCCTATAAATCACAGCCTTAGCTATAAGGTTAATTGCCTCCAATAATATGTAAATGACCTTATTTTTTTCTTCATTATTTTTTGCCTATTTGCTTTTGCTTTTACTTATTTTTTGTTATCTTCATTTCCCTTCAATTCCCATCTTTCTATAAATATATTTGACCTTTTTATTCATTCGATCATCATTCAATGTCTTTATAAACTAGCATTTTATTGCCCTTTCTTTAAGTAATATTTTTTCTAGTATTTTTTCTGTTAAAAGAAAACTATATCCATTAATTAAGAATTCTCTGATTTTTATTGTTTTTGTATTTGGATTTTAGAGGAATATGGGGAATAGAGGCGTTTTCATCCACCTCCTAGTGTAGTCGGAGGTTGGATAGGGGTTTTCAAAATTTCTTTCGAACTTGTTTTGGATTTCAGGTCGAAAGAATGGCAGGGTTTCGGCTCTCGGTTATTGGGTTTCGGATAACACGCCCCATCACTGCCTCCTATAGCCTCCATAATTTGATAGATAATTAAATTTAAGGATGTACCCAATACTAGGCTAGATACACCCCACAATTTTTTAAAATTTTGTTGGCCACCTAGCTGGGTGGAAGGAAGCTGTTTAAACGATACCCTCTATTTAAAATACCCCTCGTTATAGGATACGATTTTTAAACATTAAAGTTGTATCTATCGGAGGTTGGATAGGGTTTATATAGATGAGATCCGACTTTATTCACTTTAAAAAAATAGTCACTAGCTAGCAAACCTATTAAAATCCTCTAATAATTATTTTTTCTTTAAATCCGCAAAAATTTGTCCGCAAAATTTCCATGTCCTTATTTTTCTATCCGCAAGTTTATTTTCTTGTCATTTTTATTTTTTATTTTGTCTACTCCATTTATTTAACAAATTCCAATATATCCTTTCCCTTTTTATCCTTTCTGCAAGCTTTAAAATCTTTTGTTTAAAGTCCGCAACTTTTGTCCGCAAAATTAGCTTGTTAAAAGAAGAAGCCGTTTACTAACCACAAAAAGCTCTCTTTTTATGTGTATGTTTTTAGTTTTAGTATTGGCCTCTTGACTTTCGTTTTCTTTCCTTTAACCAACACCTATAGGTACGTATTTTGGTGTACGGAATTTTCGTCTCTGGAACTTTCGTCTCCAAGACTTTTCGGAACTTTCGTCTCCAACATTTTCGGAATTTTCGTCTCTAGCGGAATATTCGTCACCAAGGAAATAAACGGAATTTTCGTCTCCGCAATTTTCGTCTCCGCTAGGAATTTTCGTCTCCAGAAAAATGATTTGGTCCGTCGACGGGGATGTTGTTCCGTCAACGGGGGAAGTTACCCGTCAGCGGGGGGTAGTGTTCCGTCAACGGGGATGTTGTTCCGGCAACGGGGGAAGTTGCCCGTCAGCGGGGGATAGTGTTCCGTCAACGGGGGAAGTTTTTCTCTGGAGACGAAAATTCCTAGCGGAGACGAAAATTGCGGAGACGAGAATTCCGTTTATCTCTTTGGTGACGAATATTCCGCTGGAGACGAAAATTCCGAAAATGTTGGAGACGAAAGTTCCGAAAAGTCTTGGAGACGAATGTTCCAGAGACGAAAATTCCGGCACTCCGTATTTTTGCTTAGTATATGCCTTCTATCCCCCCCCCTCTAGTTGCGGCGGTTGAGAGAGGTAGTCAATGAAAGCTAAAAAAAGTAGTAGAGGTTTTTTTCCATTTTTCTTTTCTCTATTGGCACATTGACGGCTTTAAAATGAAAGCTTTTTTTCTAATCTTGCGCATTCCAAATTTATTTTAAATAATTTATTTGTAGCTTTAAATAGGCCTGGATAGGCGCCCAAACTAGGCCTCCCAGGATTCTTTTATGGCTTGTAACTTTTTAAATCTCAACCTTTTGGAATAAATTTTGTATCATCCGAAAGCTTAGAGTATGCTAGAGATCGATATTTTCGAAAAGCCTGGTCTTGTCCCTGGACTCTGGATTTGATTTATTGACCTGGACTGGACCCTGGGCCTGTAGTCCAGGAAAACCCCAGGGCCAGGAAAAACCCAGGGATGTCAAAAAATGCTTGGACCTGGCTCTGTGTACAGGAAAAACCCAGGATTTGGTCCAGGTCCAGCTCGATCTCTAGAGTATGCTGATTCTTTTTGCCAAAGGAATCAATTTTGTCTGAGTATTTTCTAAAAAGTTATGGGCGGTTAATTGAGAGTAATCGTGATTTTTCTTGCTAATTTATTTTTTCACTATTTTTGCTTATCAAGCCTATTATTTTTAGGAGATTTTTGTTTCAGTTTGGCCCAATCAAGTAAAATAATCCTAATATTCATAGCTTTCGAAAGCTAATAAAAGTATTCGAAAATAATGAAAATTTAGAAGGTTATGCTTACCAAATGTTTATTGACGCCAAAACTTTGTTGCGCCTAAATAGACTAGTATTTTTTTACAAATTTTTCAAATCTTTTAAAAGAAAGGATTGAATGTGGCACTAATTATTTATGTTTATTTTGCTTTTTTGTCTCTGTGTTATTTACACGTTCGCTTAAAAATATATAGAAAAGTCTTTAATTATTTTTAGCTAGAAAAAATTGGGAGCAGCTCAGAGTACCGCAAGTCCAAGGGTACCGCAGAGCTACAATTCCGTTCAAAGCGATTGAATCCGCGACGCCCTAGTATGGTTCGATGCACCTCAACGAGCTGAGTCGAACCATGCTAGGGCGTCCCGGATTTGATCACTTTGAGCGAAGTTAAAGCTTTGCGATAGAGATCGGTATTTTTGAAAAGCCTGGACTTGTTCCTGGATTCTGGAGTTGATTTCTTGACCTGGACTGGATCCTGGGCATGTAGTCCAGGAAAAATCCAGGTCCATGAAAAACCCAGGAAGGTCAAAAAATGCCTGGACCTGGACTCTGGTACAGGAAATACCCAGGCCTTAGTCCAGGTCCAGCCCGATCTCTAATTTGCGATACCTTGGGCTTGCGGTATCTTGGGGTGTACCCAAGATTTAGCTAGAAAAAATTATAAATTTGTACAAAATTATTTTATTTTTATTTTTTTTGTAAAATTTCATCGAAAAAATTTTTTTAATTTAAAATTTATTTTAAGACTTTGTATCATTTTATTCCAAAAATTTAATTAGATTTTAAATATCTTTGGAAAGCCTATAGCTTTTAATATGTTCTTTGGTCGCTTCCTTATTTTTATTAAAAATTTTATTTTGTTTGCATTTTCTTTTTAAAGAATATTTTTTTCATTTCTGGATAAAATTAATAAAAAAAAATTGTAAAATAAGTGGAATCTCTAAACAACATCCCTCAGTTTCGACGTAAGAAAGAAAGTAATGTGTGAGATGGCGCCGAGCTCCCCTCCAGTTTGAGACTTTATCCTCCTTCAAAATCCTTACTTCGTTTCAAACATGTTTAAAATTGTACCTCTAAGGAGGGCATAATTTAAAATTACTTATAGCTTATCCCAACCAGTGATGCAAAAGTTCCAGTTTCGGAACTGAAACCGTGGAACCGGTAAAGGTGCGGAACCAGCTGCTTATCATTTAGGCAGCTGCACGTCAAAGTGGAGGGATAAGGAAGTTATTCCAACTGAAAAGTTGGAATAACTGAGAGCTTGGTATAAGACTGGAACCGCCAAAATTAAAAAGTCGGTTCCGGAACTGGAACCGGTTCCAGAGAAATTTTGTAACTTTTTCATCACTGTTGTTGCCTCCCTCAAATCAAATAACCGAGACTTTATCACAACCAAATTTTATATTTTTTTCCTGATTTATGGCTAAGAAAAATTTTCTTTCCTTCAACCGCCCTCAAATGCAACATTTTTAAAACTTTTTCTTTATTTTATAGATGCCTTTAACAATTAAAAAATACTAATAGAAATTATTAAATGTAAAAAAGGCGCCTTTAAAGTGGCCATATAAAATCTTTTTTTGTTTTTAAATGTCTTCAATAATGTCTATTTCAAATCCATTCTTTGACTATTCAACAACTACATCAACATCAACAAATTCTTCCCAAATTCCCCCTTTCCTTACCCCTCCACTTAGACGTGCAGCTGCTTTAAATGATGAAAATAAATTTAAAAAAGAAAATTTAAATTGTAGCAATACAACTTTAAAACAAGAAAATGAAGCCTTTGAAGGCCCTTGTTGTGTTGAAAATCCGTTTAGTCAAGATGATGGGGGAGGAAGTGGAGGAGGACTTTTTGATAGGTGAGAAAAAGTATTTTTTCTAAAAGGATCTCTTATCCCATTCATTCTGGAAATGTCTCTGGATGGATAGTGTGGGGATCATTGAGTAACGGCCGGTTGGAACTTAGCCGTATCTTGGGCCATAACTTTTTGGGTTTTGTACCAATTCGAAAAAATCTTTTATCATTCGAAAGCCCTGGATGTGCGGATTATTTTCGCCAACTAGATTGATTTGATCAGATCAACCTACGAAAAGTTAAATCTAGATAAATGCGCGCAATCGTGATTTTGTTCTTTATTTGGCTTTAACCTTTTGTATGATGATCTGATCAAATCAATCTTGTTGGCGAAAATAATCCTCACATCCAGGGCTTTTGATTGATATATTAATTATTTAGATTAATTAAGAATCGAAAAAGTTAAGCACAAAATATGGCCAGGTACACAACCGGCAAGTAACTAAGAAATAGGAGGCCGAGATAACTAAAAGATTTTAATGACCTGGAAGTTGAATAACAGAGAAATTATTTGTTTGGAGGTTGGTATAGCTGAGAATATTGTGAACCTGTGATGCTTATAATTAAAATAGATTTCTGATCCCCGAAATCGGATCCGGCATTTTTCTATTAGTTTGTCACTTTTTGAATTTTAAATTTATTTGTCTTTTGGCATTATGTATTTAATTTTTTAAAAATGACATTTGATCCCTTTTAAATTAAAAATTAATTTTAAATTTTTCAAAAAAAAATTTTTTTTTGATTTTTTTTGAACAAAAATTTTTTCAGAATTTTTTTAAATATTTTTTTCATTGTCCATTTTTTTCATAATTATTTTAACGTTTTAGATTACAAAAAAAATTTTTCTAAATAATTAAAATGCCTTTTTTGACAAATAAAAGTGAAGAAAGCAAAGCTATGGGATCACCCAAAATTTTATTAATTGACAAACCTATAATAAATAGAAGCCCTTTATTGGGAGCAAAAAATAGTAGAAGGAGTTCAGCACCGTTTTCCCAAATTTCATTCAAAGAATCTGATAATATGTAACATCAAAAGGAGGATATTTCACCGTTTTTACGATTCACCGACAATAAGAAAACGGGCCTTTTTGTCCTATGATTCTTTATAGAAAGATCTTGGCTGGAAGAAAAACTCGTTTCTTAATCTTTTTCACATGAGGAAAAATTACTGGGATTGTGTCCTTTCTTGTTTTTACGTTTTTCGGTTAGAAAATTGAATTGTCGGTGAATTGTCCAGAATTGTCGGTGAATTGTCCAGAATTGTCGGTGAATTGTCCAGAATTGTCTGTGAATTGTCCAGAATTGTCGGTGAATTGTCCAGACTGTGAACTGCCCTGTTTTTTACGATTAAATTTTAATCTTTCCCCAAATTTTCAGTCGTATAAGCCAATCTTCGTCTGCCGTTGTTGATTCAATGATTTCTGAAGGTTTTCTAGTTTCCTCAACTTCAACAACAGTTCCTACAACAAAAATGCTTCAAGATTCCGGATATCGTTCAACAATATCAAATTCCAATTTTGAAGAGGAAATGTTGGTTATTGCTGAAAAAGAGAGGAAAGAAAGGAGAAGACAACGACGAAAAACAGGGTTTATTTTTTATTTAAAGGGTAAAGAGGGATTTAAAAGGGGAAAAGAAAGGGATGTTTTTTGGAAACAAATTTGTGTTTATAACCGTTTAATGACCAAAAAATTGACCTTAAAATGGCGCAAATCTATTAAAAAGAACAAAAAAACGGAAAAATAAAAATACATGATTTATTTGTCGGGGTTTGTGGAGAAACGAAAATTTATTATTTTTTGGAATATTTTTTTCTGGAATTTTTTGATGCCACAAGACAAAGTCTAGTTTAGAAATGTCACGCTTGAAAAATTTTGAATCGGATTTTTAAATTTTTTTCGAGTCGCGTATTGGATCAGGGATCCTTTGTGGGTTTTTTTTCGGAGGGATCAGTTGGGGAGACTCTTAATTTACTAAATTTACACGACCCGGAATCCAATCAGCGGGAAATTTTAAAAACTTGTTACACGAAACCCGACCCGAACCAATTTTTCCACAATCCGCAACATCTCTGTCTTCATTAAATATTTTTGAATTTTTGGACATATTATTGTATCCTTTTAGAGCTCTGAAAGTGTTTTGTTCTTCCTTACGGGAAACTTTCTTTTGCAGGCCCGTAGCCAGGATTTTTTTCGGGGGGAGGGGAAAGGGCTACAGACCTGATTTCTTGATAAAAAATATTTCTTTAGGATTTTCTGACACTTACCTTTTAATCGACAAAATTAAAAAAAATTTCTATATTTTTAAAGACTCAGCAATCAACAAAAACCAAAAGAAGAAGGAATAATGACTGTTAAAAATAAAGACAATACCAATAATTCTTCCTCCGTCCCAGCATTTTTGAGAAGAACTTGTAGTAATGCAGCAAATGGAATAAATGCAATAAAGCCTTCAGGTTGGATTGGGGCGGTAATAATGAGGGCTTCTACTTCGGATGATAATGGTTTGTTGATTAAATTTTTAAAGGAAAATTTTCGGGGGTTTTCAAAAAAAAAAAGATTTTTTAATCGGTGTATGATGAATTAATGAAATTTGGGATATTGGTTATAGGAAAATGGTTGGAGATATAGTACCGAAAAATTATCGGTTTACACAGAAAATTTTTTAATACGAATTGAGTGCTTATTTTTCAACCCCTCTTTTTGATAAGAAAATAGGCATAAAATTTTTTGTAAAAAATTTTTTTTGATAATTTTTGTATGGTAATTAAAAGAAAAACATTCAGTGAGAGAGTTGTTAAATTAGAAGAAAATGGGAAGATATTTTTAAATTTATTTTAGTGTTATATTTAAATTTTCTTATTTTATAAGAAAATATTTAAAAAGAAATTAAAAAAAAATTTTTTTAATATTCAAAAAATTTCAAAAAAAAATTTTTTTGGAAGCTTTTTTTAAATTTGAAAATCAGTGCCGGAAATATTTAATCCAATTTTTTCAAAGATTTTCAAAAAAAATTTTTTTCAATTTTCAAGTAAAATCCAAATCAATTCCTCGAAGAACCCAAAGTATTGGAAGCTCAACAACCACACAAATATTAAATTTGCCCCCAACATTTTTATATTCTACCGGTTGGATGGTCGAAGCAGACCTTTCTAGTGACGATTCTAATAATGAAAAAGTGCAAATTTTTGGTGGAAATAATTGTGGAGGTGTTGAAGGTTTTTATTTTGTTTTTAATTTTTTTGGGGGATAAAAAAAGGGATTTTTTAAATTTAATTTTGAGAGAAAATTCTAGGAGAATTTTTTAATTTTTTATCGTTTAAAATTTGAAACAAAAAATTTTTCTAGCAAGGGAAACTCGCAAACTGTGAGCCAAAATTTTGTGCTTTCTGTTGTACCAATCTATAGAGCATCATCGATTTACTCTGGAAAATTTTTTTGGCTTTTTTGGATAGGAATATGAAATTAAAAAGTTATGGAGCTTCAAGTCTATCGATTGGTATTAAAATAAGTACAAAATTTTGACTCACAGTTTGTGAGTTTCTCTTGTAAGCAAAACAGGACACCCCTTACTTAGTATTTGTCAATTCTCTTGAAAATATTTTTAGAAATATTTTTTTTCGAAAAGTTTTTGAGGAATTTCAGGGAATACTTCTTTCTGTCTTTTTATTTCTCTTAAATTTTTATTCAATTCCCTTCCCTCAAATTTTCTTTAAAAATGTGAGGGGAGTCACTGGTGGTCTGCTTTACCTCAAAAAATATTTTTTTGTTTTTCATTTTTAAGCCCAAAAATATTTTTAAAAAAATTTTCTCATTAGGATGGGGATATTTTTTTAAATTTTTTTATTTAATGTTTCCCTGACTACCTTTGCACATTTTTCTTTTTCCTTTAATTTATTTTCATTCTCGCAACAATATTTTTTTTCTTCCTTTTTTCAATTTATTTGGTCATCATTTATTTTATTTTTAATGTCCTCCTTCTCTATTCTCTCTAATTTTTTTCCCTTTTTTAAATAATATTTTTGGTTTATCTAACCTTTTCCTTTAAAAACAAGGTTTTGGGGGTGGTCAAAAATGAGAAGAGAAACGAAAGGGTTTTTGTTTGTACAGATTTTTATTTTGGCCATACCCTTCCCCTTCCCTCCCCCCTCCAAAGCCAAGCCAAACAGACAAAAATTTATTTACAATTTTAGGGAATACCTTTTTTTGAATATTTTTTTCCGTTTATTTTTATCCCTTATTTTATTACTTATTTAAATGACAGATGCGCGCTATGGCCCTTTTTATTCTTATTAATTTAGGAAGAAGAAAGTGTCCGCAAGTTTTGTCCGCAAATTTAAATATTTTTTTATTTTTCAATATTTTTACTTGTTTTATTTTTTTTGGGTTAGACTTCTAAAAAATTAATTAAAAAAAGTTTTTTTGGATGAAAAATATTTATTTGGGGAAATTATTAATTTTTATTTAAAATATTTGCGGATCAAACTTGCGGATTATCTGCATTTTCTCTTTTTTTCTTTAATTTTTTTTAATTTTTTTAAATCCTTAATAATTTAAATATTTTAGTCCCAGAAATTTTTAAGTGTCTCAAAAAATTATAAAAAATTTTCCATAAAATTTTTCCTTCAAAAAAAATTATTTTTAATACTATTTTTGAAGGATAAATAAATAGATTGATAATGGGATAGAAAATTATTAAAATTCTATGCATTTATTAAAAGGACCACTTTTTTTAACAAAATATTATGTCCATAAAAGCAAGTTAATTTTTATTACAAATGTGTAAATATAATTATTATTTGTATCTAGGAAAAAATTATTATTATTATTATTTACTTACCTACTTTATAGCAAATTACTTTTTATAGTGTTCATACAACTTGTTTATTATTTTTTTCAAGTCATGTATTTTTCTGCAACATTTTAAGTAGCAAATTGTAATTATTTTTTATGTTTCTCTAAAAATATTTTGAATTGTTCCTTACAAAATTCCCACATTTTTTATTTTTTTTTTGAAAAAATTATTTTTTTAATTAGCAATTAAGCAGCAGCCATTTTCCCAGATCATATAAACCTTTTTTTAAAACCTCGTTATTTACCCGCCTTCTTAAATTAGGTATTTTAGTATAGCGGTCCTATTATTTTGATCTGACTGGAACGTATCCTTTTTGCTTCTCTTTTTTATGATTTTTTACAAATATTTTGTTTAAATGTTAGCAAAAAATGATAAACATAATCTCTCGATTTTCGAAAAGCTTCCAATAAATCTTTTTTCTCGTATATAATTTTTTATACCTTTTATGATCGGACCGAGACAAGATCCCGAACAAAAATTTCGGTTACCTAGGATATCTTTCGAGATATCTATCTGGGGCGGTTATCATAAGAACTCGGTTGCTGTTTACCTAACGATGGTTAGGTGACGATGGTTATGTAACCATCGTCAGGTGACCGAGTTTTTATGATACGTCCCTGGATTCTTGTACGAACCATCCTATTCCAGTCTCTAGTCTGTAATGACAATCATCTTGTTAAGACAATCATTTCTCCTCCCAATCAGTCTCTCTCGTTTCATTTCATTTTTACAATCAATGCTCTCATAATTATTCTCTCAATTTTTGTAAATATATTACCAATTTCTTTTATTATATTTCTAAGAGGGAGAGAATACCGACCACTTAAAATCGAATAACCAAAAAATTCGGGGAATTATAAGTGATAGAATAAAAAGAGAAGAAGCTTGGGCTTTTTTATTGTTTAATTTTTAAGTAGGGGGATGGACAGTGGTTATCGGAGAAGGGAAAAAAGAGAGAGGGATGCTCCTTTCGGTAAAATTAAAGTAGGTGCGAATCTTCTTGAGAGAAAAATGGGCACTGCTAGTTAAGTTATAATATAGACATGATCATTATTATTATTATTGGACTGTTTTGTTGAAAAAAAGAAAGTAAAATTATTCTTTTAATTTTATGTAGGGCTGGCCTGTATCGAAGGAATTCTGGAACAGTTCTTTTTCTAGTGAACTTCCCCTTTAGGATTCACCCTTACTTTTATCTTTTGATTTTTTCTCCCTTATCAATGGAATCTCATTTAAAAGTTCCCCCTCCATTCTTGTTACCGCGGGTGTATCACGTTTTCCCTAGTCCCAGTCACGTTTTCCTTGGTTCAAGGATTACAAGAGCAACACTGTTACTACGAGGATAACTTTAAGTTTACGCCAGTCTTTCACACCGCATCCATCCTTATGTCAATCAAAATAAAAATAATATTTGATTAATTAATTTAATGATCGGACTAGAAATGTTGTACGAGAATCAAGATACATATCTCGAAAAAGTATCACTCTCGATAACAATGATTTTTGTTCGAGATCTCGTCTCGGTCCGAAATTTAATTTAACTCTATCCTCCTTTAATTTTAAAGTCTTCTTTCTTTTTGAAATAAATCTGTACTTAATTTTGCGCTTTTTTGTTAGGAGGGGAAGGGCATTGACCTGTAAAACTTACCTAGAAATCCACACGTTTTTCACAAAAAAAAGTTTTTTTCCAAGCGAGATATGTCCGTTTAGTGTCCATTGTTATTTGTTCTTTTTACAAAAAAAATATTGACCGCACGCAGTAAAAAAAATTTTTTTTTGTATTTTCCCACATTAGTTTTAAAGAAATTTAACGTGATTTCTCTTTAAAAATGTTTTTTCCACAATTACTAATTTAATAAAACAAATTTTTTCCTTCTGTCGGTATTTTTTTTCTTTAAGATTTCCTTATCTATTATTTATTATCTATTCCTTTATTATTATTTCTGTATCTTATATGAGATGATAATACATATTTTTCTTGCTATTTCCCATTGTTGAAGCTTTTGGAAAAATTTTTTTGTTTAATAATTTTAAAATTGTTTTCCTTCCGTTCATGGAGAATAGAAGGAGAGCAAGTTTTTGTTATGTATATAGCATTGGGTTTTAAGTATAGCTTTAAGGTATACGTGAAAATAAAGTTTAAACTCCACATTTTTGTAATAAAAATTTTTTTTCCTTAGGATCAGTTAGGTTTCTAATTTATTTTTTCAATTTCCAATTTTTTAATCCTTAAGAAAGAGATATGAACCAGGGCCGCTCCAAGTTTCACTTTTTTCCTTTTTCCATTTCGTTTCGTAACGAAATAAATAATTTTTTTTTTATTTCGAGCAGCCCTGATATTGAGTTTGAATAAACTACAAAATTTCATCAAAACAAAGCAAAAATGTTTTAAGCTTTAACAGAGTGATGGTTTTTATTTTTAATTAAAGGTTATCTTTTAAATAGACCTCTGGGTTAGTCTATTCAACAAACAAGCCTATTGTTTGTCCCCTACACTTTTAAACTTAACAAAACAAAACTTTGTGTTTTGTTTTGTATTTTCTTTAAATTTATTCAAAGTCCATATCTCTCCCTTTTGATGATTAAACAAAGCCGCACTCTACATAAACTGCAACATCATTGACCTCGTTTTTTTTAAATTTATGTTTTTCTCTTTTTTATCTTTTCAAAATTTATATCTTTTAATTATTTATGTACATCTGTGCTAATTTTTAACACATTTTTAAATACAAAAATAAATAAAAATATTTATTTTTATTGTTAATCACCTCCTCCATTTTTCTCTCCTTTTAATGCATTACTAAATTAAAAATAATGTAAAATACCCTCGCCTTTCCAAACCACAAAAATAAAAATTATTTTTGTGGTTTGTTTGGCCTACAGATTTAAAGAAATTACTTCAAAATTTATCGGCGCTCTATGGCCTTTTATTGTTGACATTATAATTTTTGGGGTGGTAGTATGTATTTATCATCCTTGAGAGAGAGGTAAGGCCTTTCCTTCCTTAACCTTCTTGTTTCTTGACACTCCTTATTTTAAGCTTTAACACACACTCACACTCCCAACATTTCACAATTTATTATATACTAAATTAATTTTTGAAATATATTTTTTATAACCATAACCTGATATGTATGATTAGTTGGCCAGGTTTCTAAATTTAACTAGAATCTATTTGATGAATTTTTTTTCAAATTTTGAACTGAAAACCAGTAGAGAAAAATTTTTTTTCGGATATCCCATAGATTTTAGAGTTGAAATTTTTGATTGAGAAAGTCTCGGTTTTTCTGTTCAATTCTAAAAACGACAATCTTTTTTTTTGACAATTTCTAAAGAAAAGGAGAAATAAAATTCGAGCCGATAATGTGTTAAGTACCAATTTTTTACAAAATTGAACTCCAAGAAGCTGACCTTTTCAGAATTTTCATAAATATTTTTTTGTATTTTTTATCCATATTTTTTTAATTTACTATTTTTGATTTTAAAAAGTTTTTTTATATTAAAAAATGGATTGGTCTTTCAATAATAACAATTATAATTCTAATTCTTTAAATAATTCTATTATTTCTGATTTACCTCCAACTCGCCTTTTAAAATACCGGTGGCCTGAAAAAATTGCGGATGGGGGTAATTATATTTTGGGAAAATTAAATTTTAAATAAACTTTTGAATTTTTCAAATTTTCCCTATTTTTGTAGATTGCATTATTGAACTTGATGGCCAACGCAAGTTGGGGATTCAAAGATTGCATGAACTACTTATCAGTAGATTTTGCTTTATTTCGGGTAGGGAATTTTTGTTTTTTAATTGAGATTTTTTGATAAATAAATTTTAATAAGGAAGGCTTATTCTAATGTCTAAATCCGAAAATATCCGAATATCCGCACTCTTTGGTTCCGATACTCTTCGGTTCCGATATCGGTATATGGGGATTTCCTAAAATTCTCCAACTTTACTCTGGACTATTAGCCCAACCGACTGTAAAGCTACCTAACTTCTAACTTGTTTTACCCGCTTGGTTCGAAAAAGGAAGTCAGGCATCGCTTTCAAATTTTCGATTATTGCCTGTTTGTGACTCGAACAGGTTGTCTAATAAAAATATGTCTTAACTAAAGATCGGCTGGAGGGATTTGTCGATATTTTTTTTTCGATACATAAAACCATTTATCGAAAATTTTCGAAAAAATTTCGTATCGAGCCAATTTCTAGTCTTAACATCGTCCCCGCTAATCATAAGATCTTTTTGTCTGGCTTTCTTTTACTTCGACTCTTTTTTAAAAATACCTTTACTTTTTTAATTTTTTCATAATTATTTTTAAAGGAATGAAAACACTTAAAGGCCATCCTCTTGTAACCTTCCCAGATTCAAGATGTTGTTTAAGTTTTGAAAATTATCAACTTTTATTGGATTATTTATTTCAAATAAATCGGGAAGAGTCTGATCCATCAACAGAAGATAATAATTTAATTAAACAAGAATGGATTGTTATTGTTGATCGTCGTCAAGATAGATGGTCTTCTGTTAAGACAATACTTTCTTTTTTGGTGGTAAGGAAAAAAATTTTTATTTTAAAAATTAATTTTAATTGGTGAAATACCGTCTAGACTTCTTTTTAAATGTACAAAAAAATTCTATAACTTGAATATCCTATTTAAGCATCTTTCCCCAATCCAATGGTAAACCAAATTTAAAAATACTTAATCTATCTTTAACTTGTGAATATTCATTTCTGGAAATATTTTTTTGTAGTAAGTAGTAAGGTCTAACATTTTTTATGGAGTTAATTTTGTTACTCTCTCCTTAATACTTTTCGGGTTCATTTAGTTTCGAACGAAATTAAATTTTATTTTTTTGGATTTCAAATATTAAAAAAAGGTTTTTCATGACAAGTCAAGTGATTTGCTTTAAAGAAAAGTTTCCTCAATATTTTTTATTAACAAAAATGTTTAAATCTACCGTTCTCTCCACTTTTAACTAAAATAACGTTATTTTTCTACTACGTTTTCCAGTCCTAATTTATTTTCAAAAAAATATTTTTTGCAGATATCTCTAAATATTTTTTTAAATTTAATTTGTTTTTAACCTGTCCGGGTCTTTCCTTCACAAACCTCTCATTTTTTTTATTTTTCTCTTTAATCTTTTCAATTATTTTTTTCCTCTTTTTATTAGCCTGGTTATCCATCCGCATGACCGGACTAATCTTTTTGGTTTTTTTAAATTCAGGACCTTCAAAAAAATTTTTTTGAATGTTTCGTTTTATTCGATTTGTGCTACTTTTTATTTAATAAAAAAAATATTTCTGCGTGAACTGGAAGTGTTTCTCCAACAGAGAATTGGGAAAATACTCGTTCACATGATTAGGAGGGGGAAGGGTTATTTGAAAGGGATATTTGGTCACTCATTTTATTTTTTTTTAATTTTATTTTTGTGGGAAGAAGCTACTCATTCATTTGTTTTCTCTATTTATTTTTAATCCTCTTTTTTAAATCACCTATAGAAATGTGTAGATATTTTTGAAATATTTTAGAAATTTTCTAAAGTTTTTTGAGTGTTAGAAGACAAAGTTTGATTAATGATTCATAATTTAAATAAATAAAAAAAATATTTTTAGAATTTTCCTTTTTGGTATTTCTTTAATTTTTCATTTTATATTTTTTTTAATTTAAGGTTTTGAATTTTTCTAGGCAAATAAATAATATTGATAGGGCCTTATATTTTTTTAGAAATTTTTTAGAAGTTTATCTATATTTTTTTTATCTTTATTATAAAATTTTTTTATATTTTTCTTTTGCCTTTTCCTCAAGCTTCCTCAAGTTTCTAAATAAGCCTCCATTTAATTACGAGTTTTTAATTTGGTTGACCATGAATGTAGGGTCTGTTTAAATTTAAATAACTTTTCATTATAAGATACAATTTTTCAATCCAAGTTGTATATAAAAAAGGGGTTCGACTATATTTTTTAAAATAGCTTTTAAAAAATTTTTCCCTTAATTATTCATATTTTTAATTGCTTCTTTAAAAACAATATAAGAATTTATCTTTATTTTTCTTTCGCCTTTTCCCTCAAGTTTATTAACAAAAAAAAGTTGTTTAAAAAAGTAAAATGTGTAAAGGGTTAAAAATTATTTTTACACATTTAAGACTTGCAAAAATAAAAAATTTTTGGCAACTTTTTCCAACCTTTTGGTGAAAATACCAAAAATAAAAAAGAGAAAAAATGCTTTTCCTTTTTATTTTCCTCAAAAGGGCTTTTTTGTTGTTTTTTAAACAATTCTTGAAAAATAAACATTTTTTTCCAAAGCTTTCGCCTTTCTTTTCCCCTTTTATTTTCTCCCCAATTGACCTAAATAAAATAATTTTCTCTTATTTTCAGAATTACTTTCCCGAACCAATTTATCTCGTTATTCTGCTCAAACCAGAAGGTGTTCTTCAACGTGCTATAGAATACGGGTACAAAAGTGTGTTGGATGGATGCGAAAAGTTTAGGGTAAAATTTAAAATTTTGAGAGATTTTTGAAATGATTCTGGGACCTTCTCTCACGTTTTCTCTCTGGAAAATATTTTTCTGTAAAAATCCACAAATTTTTTCGGACTTTTTTGGAAATATTTTGTACATAAAAACGACTTCTCTTAACACGTTTTTAAAAGAAATTTTTAAATTTTGATGTGTCCCTAAGGGAAAGATTTGTGTTAAAATAGAAGGGGAGTGGTAAACAATCTGACATGTTTTTTGGTTTTATTTTCGGAATATTTTTTTGGGAAAATTTTGCAAAAAACGATTTTTTCTAATTTTACATTATTGAAAAAAATTTTTCTCTCGTTTAGCTTCACATTTGTCAAAATTTTTCATCTCTTCATGAATTTATTGAACCAGATTTTTTGACAATGGACTTGGGCGGTTCAGTACATCATAATCATGATGATTGGACTAATTATCGAATTGTGAGTTTAAGAAATCTTTAATTAAATTATTTTTTGGTCCCTAATTTTGTCGAGGTTTTATATGGTTATTCGGAGTTTTTAATTTGAGGCTATTCATCGAGTTCTTGAATGGAATGAAAAAAGGCCAACGCAACAAAATTTTAACGTTCCTCTTGCAGTAAAGTTGTCGATTCGGATAACCGGATCCGAAAAATGACCGGATATCCGAAAATTTTCGCTTCGGATATCGAATCCTGATATCTGAAGATTGCCAACTTTCCGACAAAGTATCACTTGCAGCCTATACAATTGTTTGAAAAAATAAGCTCTCTAGTTTTATTAGCAAATGAAATCGAATCTAGTCAATTTTGGTGTTTTCCTTCTTATTTCGTTGAATAGCCTCTGTTCCAACGTCGACTTTCTCTTTTTTTCTGATGATTTTCCTCTAGCTGTCTATCAGGACTCTTGCCGACAAAAAATAATTTCCGTCTTTTTGGGAATCTGGACGGCCTTGATATGGACGTCATATGTATTACTGATTGGATTTGCTCCCAAAATTTTATGTTAATTTTTTTTGGAACATTTTGTTGTTTTTCCTATACAATTGCTCAAAAAATAAGCTTTATTTCATTTGCCTTCAAGTCTATGAACGATTTAGAACATAGAGGGAGAGGAATGTGTCCGTGTCTCCTCCATGCGTGAATAAGCTCCCCCCTTATTCGTTCTTTTCCAAAATTTATTTTTTTGTATTGAAAATCCCTTTTTTCAAGAGCTTTTCTCTATTTGGTTTTTAACGTTTTGATCATTAAAAATTTGTTTTTAAACTTATTGTCTATTTATATATTTGAAACACACTTCCAAAATCAAGTGGTTGAACAACAAACACTATGCGCAACTTTTCTCCTTTTAAACGATTTTTCCTTTTAATATTCGAATAATTTTTTTATTAAAATTATTTTTTTATTTTAATAAAAAATCCAAAAAGATTCCAAAAATTTTTTTTCCAAAAAAATCCCTTCGAAAAATTTCAAAAAATCTTCTCCTCAAAAAATGTCTCGTAATTGGTTCGGCTTTTCCCACTTTCCTTCCCTACAAAATTCCTCTATTCGATACCACTCTTCAAGTGGTGGATATGTCAGTTTTACTTGTAAAGGCACAGAGGGAGATTTGTTCGATTGGATAAGACGACCCAAAATTATTTGTGAAGAAAATGATAAAAATTATTTTATCAGGCGAAGAATTGATTATGGAATTGAAAAAGTTTGCAATTTTTTGATGAAGAAAAATTTTTTAAGCACGGATGTATTTGTGTTTTTTTTGTACAGTCGGATATCATTTTTAGATACTTCTTTCCCCTCTCTCTCTCAAAGAGTGTCGGTTAGTTGGAAATCTTCGGATATCAGGATCCGATTACCTTACTCCCTCCTCTCAACAGATATACCTTAATTAAAAAGATAATCTTTTGTATTTGGTTAACTGCTAGTTGAGAGATGCTAATTACTTGTAAGTGATATCCTCTATTTACGATACTTCTCATTAAGGATACCAATTTTTCAGACAAAGTTGTATGGACCTATAAATGGGATCCAATGGTATTTTAAATGTCAGTTAAACAGATTATTTAATAAAAAATTAAATGGAAAAAGGCATCAAATAATTTGTTCTTTTAATGCAAAAATATATCTAAAGAATTTCAAAAATAAATTCTTATTTTTAGGAGATTGAGCGTATGAAAAGTTCCGCGCGTGTTATAGCCGAATCTTTGGGAGACTTTGGAAAGTGCCTTCGTGAAACAGAATTGCCCAATGATGTTCACACAACAGAAAAAGTGTTGGAAATGCAACAACACGAAAGGGATGCGATAAAAGAAGATTTTCGAATTTCTATTCGAAAAGGATTGCAATTGTTGAGACAAGTGAGGCAGACAGAGGAAAGGTGAAAATTATTTTTTTGATAAATTAGTAAAATCATTCAACTGCTCATTAAGGAATGAATGATTTGGTAACGTCGGACCTTCCTATAAGGTGCACAAAAAAGACAGATCGCACCTTTATTTAATATACGCTTTTTTAATCTTGTGTTCACCGGATTGGAGAAGGCTATCTAAGCGATACCCTTTATTTAATATAACCCTATTATAAAATAGACCTTATATATATTTGAAATACATCTTATATTTGGTTATCTGATTAAAATTTATTTATCTGATTAAAACTCAAAAATTAAGGAAAAAACAGTTTTTAGAAATTTAATTCTCTTTTTGAATTTTAGACAGATCACTAACCTCTACTACGTTTATATTAAATACCTTGTTGATCTAACCCAGTTGACCACTGGGTAGAGAGCTGGGTAGGGATTTCTCGAGTGTATCTTTAGTGAGGTCCGACTGTTTTCTGAGACCTATATCATTCTAACTAATTTTCCCTCAATTTTGTAGTTCAAATATTGACCACCATCAACATCCTTCACCTTGCAGTCTTCAAAATATTGCAGCTATAGAAAGAATGATTGCACAATTACAAGATACCGAAAAAAGTTTTGATACTTTTTGGCAAAAACATCGTTTAAGGCTAATGAGTTGTTTAGAATTGAGGCGATTTGAAGATGAATTTAGAAAGGTAAAAAAAATGAGGGAATTTTTAAACGACTTTCCCGCTGTGATTAATGAGACAAATCTCATTTTGGAAATTGGGAGAGTTTGAATAAAATAAGGAAAGGGAAAAAAACGGATTTAAAGTTTGTTAGTTAGAAAAGGATGCGGAGGATGTAAAAATTCCATTGGAAATTTTTTGTATTTGGAACATTTTTTGTTTTCTTTTTTAAGTTGTTCACCTTGCGAAATTATCTGACTTCCCCTCCTATATATATATTCATAAAAGATTTTGAACACATTATTGTTATCCACAAAGCTCACTAGGAAATACCTTCACCGTTAACTACTTCAATTTAGCTGATGATTGAGGAGTAGCGTAAGTGGATACTTCCCATTAGAGACTGGACTAGGAGTATTTGAGATTGAGATCTCGATAAATCTCGATCTTGATAATGAGATTTCTGATCGAGATCTCGTTTCGGCCCGGGCTTTACTTATTATACTAACATAAGCAATTTTTCAGCCCCTAAGGAGTTATTTTATTGTGAGTCCAGTGCTGCCCGATTCTGTATATTTTTTTAAAACACTCATTTTTTCAGTTACAAAATTCTTTCGCCAAGCATATGCATCGTTTAGAAGAACAAAAAATTGAGTTAGGCAATAGTGAATCCAGTGCTGCCCGTTTAGCAATTGAACATCGTGATTATCGTGCAGATGCAATGACTGATGTCTTTGCTGCTCGAACACTTAAAGAGCGTGGTCTAATGCTTGCGGAAAAGGAATTGACAGAATCGTTGAACACCCAAGGAAGTGATAGGTGAGGAATAGTGTTGTTTATTGATAGATACATAGGTTTATAACCTGTTAATTTTTGCTTGTGGCGGCTCAAATTCTCTCCTATTATTCTCCTTTAAAGCCACCACAGGCAAGACTTAACTAGGTTGCGACCTTTCGGGGCGGGGAAAAATTTACGGGGAACGGGAGTTGCGGGGAATTCGGGGAACATGCGTCGAACCCTAAAATTAATTGGTTGTGAATGACCTTAATTTTAAGCATAATTTGATGTCCCGGATAGGAAGGTGCCAAAATTCCTCCTAACACACATGCCTTCAAATAGGACTTTTGGGTGGTAATCCCAGAAGAGATAGTATGTTTTCCAACTATTTCTTTTAAAAAATGTGTTGATATTTTTTTAAAAAAAGTAAAAGATTTTTTGCACATTTTTTAAGTTTTTTTATTCTTTTTTTTTTTGTCAGTGTTGGCCCAAAATGTGAAGAATTGACAAGAATGGCCGATGCTTTAGAAATTGCTTTAGAACAGAGAACTAAAGCACTTGAAATTAGCCGTCAAATGCATTCGCAAATTGGAAAAGTGAGTTTTCTTTAAGATAAAATTAGTTAAGATTTTGTGTAAAAATTTCAAAAAATTATTTTATTGGTAAATGACTTTGCTTCCTTGAAATAGCCTTAATTAATTGTTTGGTTCGAGACCAACTGCTAGCTGTATTTACACAAGCCAAAAAGGTGATGGAATCTCTTCCGCTTTTCATGTCTTCTTTCACCTTCCACATTTAGTTTATTTCACTTTTTTCCGCCCTCCGTCTCCTTATTTTAAAGATGTATAAGAGCCCGGCGCTATCGCAGCTCATTTAAAGGGGATGGATACTGTTCATACATACCTATTTTAAATTTTTTTGGCGTTAATCCCATCAACATACATATTTTTTAAATTAAAAACACGCTTTTTTCAATACTTATTTGCACTTTCAATTTAATTGAAAAAAACTTCATTTAATAATGATTTTTATTATTATTTTATTTTCTTCTTTTTTATAACCCGAAGAAAAAATTCAGACATTATTCTCTCATTAATCAATCACATCTATCATCTTTTTCTTTTTAATATTAAAGTACTATAACCCAATAAAATCAAAAATTTTTACATATTCTTTTCTCAATTCGCAACGAAAAAATTTCCTTTTTTTCATTAATTAATTAATTAAGTATATTCAATTTATTATTTCTTTAAAATTTAATACATATTTGTCTCAGCTTGAAAACTAAATTTAAGAGGGTACATATGTTCAAACGGTCATTTCTAGGTTTGTCGGTTTTTGGTTCCAGATATCCGAAGATTCTCCAAGTACCGACAACCCTAGTCATGTCATGTTCATATACGACCCTAGTTCTTTTTATATACGACCCTACAATGAAAAAACATTTTTAAATAATTATTTTTTAATTTTCTTATAACCTTGATATGGTGATTTGTTGTAAAACATATTTTTTTTGAATTTTTTTGTAAAAAAAAAGTTTTGTGTGTGGTAAATTTTTATGCCTGGACGATTTTATTATTATTATTTTAGCCATAACCTTTAAAATAAGATTAAGACCTTTAAAATAATTTTTATTTGTAAAAATTAAGAAAAATATATTTGGCTCTGGTTTAGTTTTTAGTAGTCCAATGAAAGTTTATTAGTCTATTCATTGTTTATGAGCCAATGAGCTAAATATTTTTTTATTTTTTAAATAATTTTATAGGATATTCTGAAGCATATACCTATATACTCTATTAATTACACTGGCTAATTATTGTTTCGACCACTCTCTGGAGAAGGTAATTGATAGAGGCGGGGTAATTAATAAAGGTTGTTTTATGAAAGCTATAGCTGGAAGGGGTAACTAATAGAGGTGGGGCAATTATCCGAGGGAGAGTAATTAATAGAGTATACGGTATTTATTTAGTTATTTAATTACTAGCAGTGCTTCGAAGCTCGTACCAAAATTCGTACTCGTACCTGGTACGAAGTACGAGTACGAGCAAAATCAATTTCGAAGCACTGATTACTAGAGCTATACAGAAGGCGACATCGAGTAATTGACGCTCGTGCCAAAACTCTTACTCGATACGAAGTACAAATACGAACAAATCTGAAATTTCCCAGCCTGTTGATCAGCTGAAGGGAAAATATGTATGTAGCTAGCCCTGTTTAGCTTATCTAAAAATTTCTTTTAAAGATTTCCATGTCTTTATTTTTTAGGAAGATTTTCTTTAAAACGCGCTTCTAAAAATTTTTCTTCTTTTCACTTTTATAATTTCTTTTTACTATTAAATACTAGTAATCTTTTATAATTATTTTTTAATGATTTTTCCTTTTTATTAAAATTTCTTTCTACAAAAATTTTTTTTATTTTATTCCAAACTCAAAAAGCTTAAAAAAGAGAGCCGCCCGCCGTCGGCGTTTTTTCATTTTCTTCCTATCATCTTTTCATGTTTGCCCTTCTCTAAATTTTCAAGCACGAAAAGGAGGTTCAGAAAAGAACAGCAGAGAGAGTTTAGAGGGATGTAAATTTTAAGAAGGGGAAATTTTGGAAAGAAAATTTTTGGAGGGGGAAATGAATTAAAAACAGCAACCAACTAAATGCTACTATGTTCCTTTCTAAACCCTCACTCTTTTTTTGTGCTTAAAAAAGAAGGAACCTTTCTTGTTTCTATTCTAAAAATGTTCCTTTCCTTTCCTGTTTTAATAAAACTATATTTTTAATGAAAAAATTTTAATTTTAAATGTTGCGAAAAAACAAAAGTATTTTGTCTTATTATATTTTTATTACTTTTCGAAATTGAAATTTGAAAATATAAAATACAAATTTATTTAAAAAAATATTTTTTTCATTTATTAAACACAGCAGACTAGCAAGGGAAATAGCGAACGAACTGTCATTTAATGCGGCAGAACGCCAACCAATTAAAAAAGAGCTAAATTTATCTCTTTTTCTCTAATTTTCTCTTGTTTTCCCATACTCTTTTTATTTAATTTTTACAAATCCGAGTTGAACGACTTTGAAAGCCGATATCTCGAAAATTATGCCCATTTTTAAAAAATCTGTTCCCATCATTTCATAGATATTTGTTTTAAGATTTTATAAAAAAAATTTCAGAAATTTCCATATTTTCTAAAAAAAGTTAATATGGGCGAAATTTTTTGAAATTTTCAGATGAGAACAATTGACAAAAGCAGTCAGGTTTATTTTTAATTGATGGCTCATTCGATTCGACTCGACAAGCTGAGTCGAATGACACCAAAATCAGCTCGATTCGATGATTCTGAACAAAGTTACAAGCAAATTAATTTTCGCCGGAATAACTGCTTTTGTGCTATTATTTAGGCTATATAGGAATCTAATCACGGAGATTTTGGTGTCATTCGACTCAGCTCAACGAGCTCTTTCGAATGAGCTATAATTTGCATAGTCGAATTTTCGACCCCGAAAATCGGAATTTTAGGGACCTGTATCTCGGTCCACAGGCATTTCCGCACCCCATGATTAGTGTCATTCGACTCAGCTCGACGAGCTCTTTCGAATGAGCTATAATTTTTATATTTGAATTTTTGTCACCAAAATCGGCTAGGGGCCCTCCTGTGGTTTTCAACTTTCGGGAGACTGTAACTCGGTCCTGGAATGTCGGATCAACTTCGTTCACATCTAGTTCGACTCATTTTTTAGAGCTCTTTCGAATGACACCTCATTTGTCCAAATCAATCCAAATTTGCAAAAATTACATTAAAAAATAACAGCCGGCTTTTTTTTTAATTTTTCCCGTTTTTATTTTTAAAAGTTTAAAAAAATTTTACACACTTAAAATATTATTTAAAATGTTTCTTTTATGTTTTATTTAACATATCTAATAGGAAAATATTAATTAACCATGAAAAGGTTCGAACCCGCGACCTATTTTTAAACGATTTTGTAGTCACCGCTCTTAGCCACTTAACCAAAATTTAAATTCCGCTATTTCCCTTGCTAGTCTGCAGTGATTAAAGGAATAGGTTTAAACTAGGGTAGCACCCCGATCCTACAGATTTGTGTCAGGGTTTTTGCCAAAAAATAGTCGATGTTTTGGAGGATGTGGTGCTACCCTAGTCTAAGCCTTTAGAAGGCTTCGTTACGCTTTTAGGAGGCTTTGGAAAAAATCTTTTTTGTATTTCTAAATGCCATGAAAGCGCAACATTTGATTAATTATTTTACATATATTATTTTTAAATTTTATTTTTTTTTCACTAAAATTTATTAAAAAAAATTTTTTTTCTTATTTTAAATTATTTTTATTTTTCCCAGTCTAGGTTCTACCATCTTATTATTTATTTTATTTATTTTATTTTTTTAATCAATCTCGTTTTAATAATTTTTTAAAAATAATTTATTTAAATTCTCTCCCCTCCAATTTTATTATTTTTTTATTATTTTTGCAATATTTATTTATCAAAAAAAAATTATTTCTGCCCTCTCTATTATTTTTTTTATTTTCTAGGCAAATGATTGGTGTCG